CGATTATGGCAAAAATAATAATCACGATTATTGTGACTGAAATTGAGATCTCGATTTTTTAAGACAATTTTTCAATTAATGTTGATTTTATTTGTTTTTATTCAGTCATAAAATTGCTCAGGGCACAATCAGTACAAAAATAAATAAGAAACAAGATGATCACTAAAATAACTCCTGATTCCCAGTATAAAAAGACTGATATACTTATAGCTCATAGTTTATGACCCAAGGGCTATAGACCTTGGTTTAACTCGTTTAAGTCTAACCAGTACAGACCCAAATACCAATATCTTGCAAATACTGACAGCAAGAATTATACAGTGGCATTTAAAACAAATAAATGCAAATAGATTGATGTTCACAAAATTTTGCATAACATTTATTTTAGTCGTGTCAAGGTGCTGTAGGAGAGTGCACTAGCACCGTGTCCTCAGAGAGATTAGTTATTATTTATCAGCGTGAGGAAGTTATTTCTATCTATTTCAACCTTATTTATAAACTATTTATTTACAGGTCCATCAGTTAATGTAATAAATGTCCCAAACTTGGCCAAACTTCTCACCCTATCTCTAAGGGAGAGCCCAGCCACTCTTTGTCACTCTTTGTGACGGGTGGTGGTCGAGGGCGGGGACCTTGGCGGTCTGATCCTCGGCTACAGAAGCTGGCTCTTGGCACATTTTAAAAATCAATTCAGGATTTGTTTTCTTGTTGTTTATTCATTTTTCTTATTTTTCTCCTTTTTTTCTCCTGTAATAAGTGTCATCGCTGCTGTGGCATCTAGCTTTCCCCACTGAGGAACAATAAAGGGATTTTCTATTCTATTCTTCTATCTGCAGCCTTTCCACTTCCTGTTTTACTGTAGGTAAAAAAAATTCTCACGGGCCAACAACAAAATAAAATATGATTTTATCTTAAATGAAAATGCAATATCTCACCTGTTAAATTTCATGTTTTGGAGCAGAAAAAGAGCATAAAACCAACATATGTAAAGCTCAGTTTGCTCCACTGGTTTACTGTGATGCTCACCTGTTCCAGCCAGATACCTGCATCATGGGGTTGATCTGAGTTGAGGAGGAGACTCCTGTTGTTTTGTTCATCTTCATCATAATTATGACAACATTAGATGACAACAGGTGCTCACATAGGTTTGTGCTGATGAACATGGAGACTGAGCAGCTTGACCACGTTGTTGTGTGTCGGGGAGGAAAAATAAAAACGACAGCAGCCACAGAGTCATGCTGATTTGAGCGTGTCGCTGCTCGCTGGAGTTATATCAGGTCTGTCTGGAAGTTAGTTGGAAAACTTTCAGTTTCAGTCGTGAACACATTACTGAGCGGTTAAAATCTCAGTTTCTGGGCTTCAGTGTCGGAAAATAGCTGAGTAAACTCGGCGCTGAGTGAAAGGAGTGTTTAGTTTGTCCGAGACAGCGGAGCTGCAGACACCGGCAGCAGACGCTGGAAAAAAACACAAAGGAGGGGGCGCTTCGGCTCTGCTAACGCCGCAAAGCATCGTGGGACTTGTAGTCTTTGCGGTTAAATGGGCCAGCAGGTCATTTTTAATATATTTTGATATTTATCTCGCGGGCCACATAAAAATGCTCCGAGGGCCACATCACAAATTCTCCTTTTATGAACACTAAAGGTGGAAGGTGATTGCTATGGCTTTAAATAAATATATCTTTATGGTCCTTGCTTGTCTTTTCTAATAAATTTTCAAACAGCTGTAAGACCGCACAGATAAAGTCCTTTTCACTGCTCGGCTCTTTATCCGCCTGCAGGAATCCTTTGTGTAAACTCATTGAGTGACCCCCGGAGTCATCAATTAGACAAATTTGTCAAGTTTAGAGCCTCTCATTCTTCCTTGCACTTCCATCTATTGAATTATCCATCTATCCATATCCGTCTTTTCCACTCCAGAGCATTCCCACAGAAACATTGATTCTTTACGCAGGGAGGGGGGTGGGGGATTCCCCTCTTGTGGGCTGTGACGAGCGACCCACACTTGTGAGAATGCATTAGAGGGACATGTTATGGGTTAATTCCTTCACAGTTTTCTGAATTACTGCACATTTTAGGAGAATTGATTGTGAGAGCGCATTATTGACTTTGGCACAGGGATTGATCCTCCTCAACGCGTGGAATTTTCTTGCTGATTTAAGATTTTTACGTTCAGTTGGAAACAGTTAAAGATGGCTGTGTGTGTGTGTGTGTGTGTGTGTGTGTGTGTGTGTGTGTGTGTGTGTGTTGGGGGTTTTCATGGAATACTTTCTAATAAAAAATAAAAAAAACTACATTTTACTGAGTTTATTAAATTGTCGCATCAACATAAAGCGAGGACGAACACAGAAACATGCTTTCCTTCTGGTATTTCCTGTCGGAGGGGAGTGCAACAGCTTCCTCCTTCCTTTACTTGCTCAAAGCACTTGAGAAACAGTGCCTTCCTTCCTCTTTCTCACTTTCTCCTTTTTCTAATAGTTTATATGCTTCTTGTTGTCTGTTCCCGGTCAACTTCAGTATTTAACCAGCATGACCTCAATAATATTTAACTCCGTATATGAATTTCATGGCAGAGCTCAGCAGAGAGAACAGACACGTGCTTCATGTTTCCTCGAGGTTAGTAGGACCGTAAAACAGGAAATAAAGATGACAAAAATACAACATACTGGTGGACTTTTCACCACTTATCAGGAACTTCCTGCTTTATGTTTCCTGTCACATTTTGTCACAGTTTCCTGTCATAAAGGCAATAAAAACAATTTCTTGGTCAATAAACATTACGCAAGTCATTTTTCTGTTCCCAGTTCTCCTGTTAAGATTGACGTGTGTGTGTGTGTGCGTGCACGCGCGTGTGTGTGTGTGTGTGTGCGTGTGTGTGTGTGTGTGTGCGTGTGTGCGTGTGTGTGTGTGTGTGTGTGTGTGTGTGTGTGTGTGTGTGTTTCCAAAGCAACTACTGCCTGAAATGAAGATTTTAGTGTACAGTAGGGATGCACGTTTTCCAACATTTTTTAAACTGGTTATTGAAGCCCTTAATGGTGATTAGCCATAGCCCCCCCTCATACATACAGTTACCCTAACCCCCGTTACGACTTTCATAAACTAAAAGTAACGTTGGTGGGATGAGAGCTGAAATGTTTGTCAGGACCTTTTTGTGCATTGCGCCGTCTGGCATCAGATAAACAGCACTGCTTATCAGCGCATTCTCAAGGCCACACTGTAAAATACACTTTAGTTTCTTTACCGAACACTAAATAATCACACTGACAATTACTCTTAAGAGACATCAAAATAGCTGTCACCAAACAGAAGTGTCGGTTAGCTGCGCGGCTTCGTTTCCACGTTCCCACGTTTCCACTTGGATGTGGAGCTCATTTCTGTGTTCAATACCAAGATTAAAATGCTCCCACGCTGTGCTCCTTCTTAACTACTTTATCTTTGAGTAAATTTATTTGATCAGTGCACGAGCTCACCTCTTCTTCGGTGGTTTTTGAGTAAACATATTTTAAAAGTGGCGTTATCGTGCCCTCTACTGGCACAATAAATATATTACACCCACACACAGCAGGACGTGAATTGCTAACCACACATAACAATTTTAGCCGGTTTTGACATTAACGGCAATTAACCTGTTAACTATGTGCATCCCTAGTGTGCACCAACTTTCTACTATCTCAGTGGTGATTTAGGAACACCGGTGCCTCATTTATTTCACCATGGTTACCACACACCTCTAAGACACAAATGCATAGATGCATTCAAGCACAAGCTCATTGTCAACACCAGGCTGAATCCTGAGCGTTAGAAGGGTCTGATGGTGACACTTGTGTACTTTTGTGCCTATTCAGTGATATATAGGTAGGATATTTGACACTTTAGACCAGTCACTTTCAGTTTTTCAGTGAAAAACTGAAACTTTTCTGTGACAATAAGGAGCCTTCACATGATGGAACTCTTTTGGATGTTGAGTGTGCAAAACCCTCGAGGGATTTGAGAGGAATCTCTTTAAGTCCTTTAGCCACGAGAGACACTCAGACAAAGACAAAGATGGCTGCGTTTTCATTTATAATATTTATCCACATAGTAAAACAGCTGTAGGAAAAATAAATGTTTGTTTGTTTTACAAGGTTTATAAAGCCTACATGTTAGAAAATGACAGCATCATACAAAGTCAACGAATCATTATAAAAGCTCAAAAAATGATAAAACAATACCACGATTATGTAATAACATCAAATATGCCAGCTTCCTGTCACCCGTTTAATCTTTAGATGATGTTCCTATTGTGAGGTCTATCGCTGGCCTGCACTTTCTCACCTGTTGTATATCTATAAAACCTCATTTAGCTACATCAAACAATGTCCTGCTACCAAAGACATAGCTAACCCTTCCCCATTGAGACATGTCTTGTGATGTTTGTTTGTTTTCTCTCCTAAAATTGCCGCAGGAGAAACAAACATGAACTTGTGACAGAACAAAATGGCAGCCGGATAGAACAGGGGTGCTTGCATGTGTGTTGGAGCTTTTAATGACAGACATAATGAGTTTCCTAACCTTGTACCGCCGGCCTGTGGTGAGTCTGGACTTCCTGTGCTGATGGTAAAACCAGTAATGCTAGAAGATGAATCCTCCTCTTTTCCAGCCCAAACAGGCCTAAGGCTAAATGTTTGACTTTTATGTCTGTCTGTGGGGTAAACACATCAAGGTTCTGAGAGCCAGGATGAGACAGGAGACAGCACGAGTGTATAATAACTCAGAGGAATATAGAAGGACAGAAACTAAAGATGCATTGAAGCAGATGAGCAGGAGGTGAACATATGGGAAAGGCCAAATGTGCAGTGAAAGAATGGAAATGAAAGTAGGCTTGCAGAATGAGAACAGAAGGGGATTTCTGACCTTTGTACTGCGAGGCTTCATTTGTTTTCTATATGCCTCCTTTCCCCCCTTCCTATGCTGTCCATTTTAGCCTCTGAACAACCCAAACAATCCCCTTTTTGTTCCTTCTAGGACTGAGACGAGCCACGCAGCACGGCTCTGGAGCGGACGCATTAACCACGCACGGGCGCTTGCTGTAACATCGGTGAGTTTCGTGTTTACAGCTATTCGGGTTTGGTAATCATGTGATGGTTTACAAGTGGCCTGCAGCCTTCTCTGTTTGTACAGCTTTTCATTATTGAGTTAAATAACAGTGATGTTATACACAAACATTCAGATGAGTCACTGTACTGATTACAAGGATTCCTCTGAGGAAGATGGGAAGGCCTTCATCACGCAGTTTGATCTGCAACTAATCGTAAACAGGAAGATGATCTGGCAGCAAAACTTACCAATTATGTTATCGTGGAGTTAAAGCCTTCTGAATTATGTTTTGTGTTAAACTAGGGAAGGGTACCGAATTCGGTACTTTTTAAGGTACCGACCGAATTCCATAGTACCGACCGAGCACCGATTCACGTCATTTCTAACGGTGCCTCGTTTCAGTACCCGTCCATCATAACGAGAACTTGCCAAGACAGCTGTGCATGCGCAAGAGCGTTTTGTCGTTTCTTGCTGTGAACCAGTTGTAAACAGAGCAGCATGGTAGAGAGAACGCAGGCTAAAGCTTGGGTCCACTTCACTAAATGTGATGGGTAATTGGATGATGAAACCAGCGACAACTATCTAAGTGAGACATCCTCATCTTAATCTGCTCCGGTAGGTAAATATAATTAGCTCGATATGTTAGCTTCCGTTTCGCTAATGGTGCGTTCGCTTTCTCCTCGGAACTCCGAAATTCCGACTAGAACAACATGAACGTGCTCTAAAGTTTGGCTTCACTTTACTAAATGTGACGGGTGAAGACGAAACCAGTGACGATCTAAGTGTGAGGCATCGTGTTAATCTTCTCCAGCAGCTAAATAAACTGTTTAAGATATCGTTAGCTTGATATGTTAGCTTCCATTGCTACCATTGTTATCAGCTAATGGTGCGTTCGCTTTCTCCTCGGAAATTCTAACTTCCCAGTAGGAAAAATCAAATGAAAAAAGACACACAGTAAATTTAGTTCACAGTAAAGATGTTTGCTTCAGTTTAATTATCAGCTTATAAAACTACAAGGACGATGTTAAAATACAAACAGTTGAATGTTATTTATCGTGATATTTATCAAATATTGTTATATATTGAGAAAAATATATATTTCATTATAAAAGAGAATTAAAATAATAAACACTCAAAAGTATTGAAAATTGGTACCGTTAAGTACCGGTATCGATTCGTAGGTACTGGTAATTAGTACCGGATCGATTCAAATGTCAAAGGTACCCATCCCTATGTTAAACTGATGTTTAAGTGCAGGACATGCATAAGCTACTAGGTCCAAGATCAGGTTTATTTGGCTCATGTGAGGAATGGATTAGTGTCTGGTGTTGTGGCTGCTGATTTTGACCAAAAAAAAAAACACCAGATCACAGAGAAGAACTGCATTATCTGGAAGTTTTCCTTAACTGTTTACGGAATGGGTAAAAAATATTGAGTTGCTATAGAAACACGTTAATGAGAAGTATTTTTACGTTTCAGAACCACACTGACGTTCAACTGTTGCCTCAGTCTAATAGCACAGCTGGTTGTGAGGAATAATGTTTCTCGTCCTAAATCTCTTCACTTTGCACAGCTGGAGTAAAGGATGTGCATAACTGTGGTTTAATCCTGCTTTAAGTCCCTGCCGCTTTGGGCTGCTCAGGAGGCAGATAACACAGACTTGCCTTGGACAGATGTTTGTCGAGGGTGTTTTTACTGATGGAGCGTTTCAGTGATGGAAGGGAGACGCTGTCAGTTACAAGCTGACGTGGTGCTCTGGTGCTCTTTTCTCTGGCCAAAAGGCAAAACACCAGAACAGAAACGCACTGAATGTCTGATGGAGTGTCAGGTTGGAATAATCTCCATGGGCAAAATGTTCTTCTTATCTTGTGCTATTGTGACAGGATTAAAGGTCAACCCATCAGTATGTCTCAAAGTTCAACTTTTTTTTGTTTCTACATGTTGAAGAGTAATCTTAAGTAAGACATTATTTACTTTTTTGTTATTTGAATACAGGTAAAACTGAGAAAAGGAAAACATGGGGAGAAATTATTATGACACGTCTCTAAATAAAGTAAAATTTTCTAGTGCAGAGAGGAGCCAACCCATAGAAGCACTGATTTGATCTCATTTCAGAGAAAAATAGAACAGGTTAGATGCACCTAATAAATAAAATTACTAACATAAACTCAGGAATCTGTTTCTTTGCTTCATTGTTCTGGTGCTGAAAATATCACTAATGCGGATCAAAGGAGATCCACAGATGAATGCACCTCTTATTTATTATTTGGTAACTACATTTAATGCAGCTGGCAGAGATTGTTTCTGTTGATACACGGAGTTTACAGAATCATTTTAAATTTTAATTGGGGAAGACTGCAGGAGGGAGCAGTAAAATACAGGGGGTCCCCAGCAAAAACAAGAAACTTTACGAGTCTGATGAAACCCGCTGGTTTTCCATCAGGCAGTCACGGGGCAGCTCCAACGACCCAGTGGCTGTGCTGGGTCAATATTATCTAGCTCAGTCCGACTCGGCCGTGAACGAGCCGAGGCGACGCCGTGCTCTGCTTAAGAAGAAGTGTTATTTTCCCTCTTCAGAAGAAGCATCCAACATGTTTTTACGCTTTCTCCTAGACATGTCACGTCGCTAAGTTGTTAGCGCCGCGCGCTAACACGTCAATAGTGCAGCGTAGCCTGCTGGAGGTTTTAAGGGTTCAGATGAAACACCGGACTTCTCAGGCTGCTCACACATGGATCTTAAGTTGTCGCTGTTGCGCTCACACCGTAATACAGTAATAGATGCGGTTAAAGTCAGACATGAAAAACTAAATACATTTTACATGAATAAGTGATGATTAGCCTGGCGGGGGGAGGAAAACCTGGCCTAATAAGCACTGGAGGAAAACCTGTCAAGATCGTCAACACTCATTTATCTTAATGCTATTGAACATGTAAACCAAAAAGCATTATATCCACTGCTACCTTTCTCATTTTATACTCAGTAACTTATGCTGTAACTTCACCTTGACCTGCCTGCTCCTCCTTGCTGCCCGCCGGCTGTGATCACAAGCGACAACATAGTAGTTCCCGCTGCTTCGGGAAACAGCGCAAAAAAAAAACAAAAAAAACTTGGGATCTTGTAGGCGTGGCGGTGGGATTTCAGCCACGCCTATGTAAGGGAAACCCTGGGAGTGTGACACCTTCAGTCTAGAATATTGAACCTTTTCACAATTTTCTAACTGAATGAATGTGGGGACTTTTTTAACCTTTATTTAACCAGAAGAGTCAAATGAGAACTCATTCTCATTTACAATGACGATCTGGCCAAGAGACAGCAGCAACAGACCCATAGCTAGCGTTACACCAGAGAAAACAGATAAGATAAAAACATACTTGATCAAAATAAAGTCAAACTGTTAGACATAAAGGCAAAAGACTGTTCTCATATATAATATGTATAAGTAATCAAAACAGACTTAAAACAGTCTTTAAGTACTCAGAAACACATTGATCAGAAACTATTGATTGCAATGAATTATTGAAAGTAGATAATGGAATGTAGGTAGTGAGCTTCAGTGATTTTTGCATTTGATTTTTTTCATAGCTGTAAGCCATGATCATCAAATAAAGGCTTTGGAATCTCATATATTAATTTCACCTTTTAAGTAGAATTACTGACATAAATGACTGTCTGCACCGTATTTCAGTGGTTCGAGTTCCACCTGTATGTGTCATGTTAGTTGTCTGTTGCTCACCACATGTTGGCGAAAAAAGCAACATGTTGCATTTGTGTGTGAGATTTTTGAAAAAGGTTAAAAATGTGCTGACGCTTCTGGCCCATTTAAGTCTACTTCTAGAGGGGGATCACATGTGCGTCAGACTAGAATGCCCTTGTTGTGTTGGGAAAACGTATTAATGCTGCTGTTTGTTTACTAGTGGTGTGTATTGGAATCTAAGACTGAGTTTTATTGGAAACTCCGAAGCTTTGCAGACACATCCAGTGCTATCGGGAGAGCTCGTTCTGTCAGAAGAAAGGTGGAAAAGACTGCTGCCACCTAGCAGTCGGAGTTTGAATTACATCACTCAAAATATTCAATTCAATTCAAGTTTATTTATATAGCGCCAAATCACGACAAGAGTCGTCTCAAGGCACTTCACATAATAAACATTCCAATTCACCGTTCACTAAGCCAATCAGAAATAATGTTTCCTATATAAGGAACCCAGCAAATTGCATCAAGTCACTGACGAGTGTCAGTGACTATACAGCAAAATAAAAACTGAATATATTGACGTAGAGTCTAAATACGGAAACTGATCTGCTGCTTTTAAGTATCAGTTCAGTATCGTAACACAAAATATTGCAATGATATCAGTGTGTTGACATTTTCTTACATCCTGTGTTCCTGGTGTTCTTTTCATCCAGGCTGTTAAACCTCAGTTCTTAAATAATTAGATGAGAATCCAGATTAGGATTAAATTTTAACAATGGGAGACTTTGTCCTGGCGACTCACGCTTTATTATAAACATAAGAAGAACAATGACACATTTTATATATATTATATGCCCATATATGAAGAACAATGTGTAAAATTATGCACAGATATAAAACAGAAGATATACTGAAACATGTATGTTCTGAGATTATTTTTGTTCAGGGCTGAGTGTTTATTAGTCTAACGTTGTGGTTCTGACAGACAGTAGCTTTCAGTTAGAGAGAAGCTTTTCTAAGTGTTTTTCCAGGGTGTGAGAAGTCAGTGGCGAGGGTTATGGCTAGGTCATGGAGGTGTGCCGATCCTGGAGAGGGCTGCTTGTAGCCAGTCAACCACGGCAGCCTTTCATGGCAGCAGAACCAGACTGTGATGGAAGTGGTCAGGATGATGATCCTCTGCTGGACCTTTTAATGTGGCAGCGTCAGTCCTAGGGAGATGATGATGATGATGAGTTAGTGACCTGATGTGACAGATTTAAAGCTGATTTGGTACTATTGATTATATAAATGCTGTCAATTAAACATCTAA